TATATAGTTGAGCCTGACCTGGAATTCACTATGTAGCCCAGGCTGGTCTCAAACTCACAGCAATCTTCCTCCCTCAGCCTCGCAAGTGCCGGGATTACAGGCATGTGCCACCATGCCTGGCTTTAAATGTATACTTGTAATGTTCAAATTGTAATTTTTTTTACTCTTGGGTCTGTTAATACTGTTTCATGTTATTCACTCAGTCATGAGTCTATTAAGATCATTTTGTATTTGTTTTTTCTAAGTCATTAATGTATTACTTTGATTCTGTTTTTCTGTCATGGTGTTTATTATTCAATTTTTCAGTAATAATTATTTGGGTATTAGGCTTATGTATTAGTGATCCCTGTGAGTTATCTAAAGAAGTGTTGTTTCTTTTTGTTTCTCATTATAATAATCTAAACCCTGATACTTCTTTCCTGCTTCAAGCTTTCTTCAGGAGCTTACACTGATCTTTTCCTGTTCCAGTTCCTCTACAAAGTACTGTCAGTGTCATCTTTTTAAAACAACATTTAACCATGTTATTTCCTTGCTTAGGATATAGCATAATATTTCTTTCCTTGGATATAGCATAATAATGTGAACCAATAGCATTTATTGATTACAAGGCTAAGGATTATATAGTCATTAAGAAATTTAATTTTGAGCCAGGTGTGGTGGCTCACACCTGTGATCCCAGCACTCGAGAGGCTGAGGGGCAGGAAGATCACTTCAAGTTCAAGGCCAGCCTGAAATACAAAGGGAGACCCTGCCTCAAAAAACAAACATATTAATTTTGATAAATGACCTATAATGCCAGTACGTCTGTTACTCCCATTTTGTAAACAAGAAACTTGTGTGGAAAAGTTACACAAATTAATCTGAGATGTTATAGGTAATAAGTGGCAAAGCTTAAACCAACTTTGTTGACTCCAGGTTTGTTAGTTTGGCCCCAGTCGGACCCCGTGTACCCTTCTGCACCCTCTCTACTACCTACCTCTTCCCCGCCTTATTCATCAGTACTCAACTTTATTCTCAGTGTTGACACTTTTTTATTTTCAGCCTGTTGAATTGAATCCAAGAACTTACGCATACTAGGCAAGTGCACTACTACAGAGCAAGAGCCCTTCTAAAATTTTTGATTTTGAGACAGAACCTTACTAAGTTGCCCAGATTGGGCTTGAATGTCTCAGCCTCCAGGGTGGCCAGGACTACAGGTTTGTGCCAGCTCTCTTTCTCTTTTTTGACAATTCTGCTCTCAAGTATCCCTATATGTGGACCTCCCACTTAATTATTTGCTCTTATTCTAGAATTTTGTTTATATTTCATTTTTTCATCTGCCTTATGATGTATAGTACTGTATTGATATATATTTCCATCTTCCTATTAAATTGGGGAGATAAGGACTATTTTCTTTTTTAAAAACTGAGGCCAATATGTTGCACTTAGCAGACTTGAAAGAAACAGAACTTTTAAAAATCAATTTAATTCATATAACATTTGTTAGAGATTTTGTTTTTATAAAATAGCATTTGGAATCCTTTGTTTTTTTTGGTTTTTTGTTTGTTTGTTTCTTTGTTTGTTTTTTGGTATTGGGTCCTTGCGCTTGCAAGGCAGGCCATTGAACCGCTGAGCTCAATCTCTGGAATCCTTTGTAATTGATCCTGAAGTTGTTTTAATTTAAGAAGATACTTCATTCAATTAACTAGAGAGATGGGAAAGATTTTTCTTTTTTTCTTGAATATAGATTTTACTTAAACACCCCCAAATTAGCAATATCTGCTTTTGGCTAAAAATAGTGTTTCTAACTCATGATCATTTCTTTTCTTTTTTTATCTTACTGAGTTCATTGGTACTTTTTAAGTATACAGTGCAGTTAGATTCATCATTGGGATCTTGTACCCTTACATGACAGATCTTGGTTTTCATTTTTTCCCCATACCTCTGCCCTCCCTTCACCCCCTCCACTCTCTCCTATTTATAAAGACTTTGTTTCCATTTTTTCCTTTCCTCATATTTTTCTTTTCCCTTTTTTCCTTTCCCCTACTCTTCCCACTTCCCCTATACCTTTAACCTTTAGCCTTTTCTTCCTATTTCACATTATCAGTTATACAATTTACACTTTTAGTTTTTCACACCAGAGAAACTATTTGGTATTTACACGTGTGTCTTATTTATTTCACTTAAGAGTATGGCCTCAATATGCATCCACTTTCCTATGAATGACTCGTTTCTCATTCTTTATGGCTGAGTAGTACTCCATTTTATTAAAAAAAAAAAACACATCTTATTTATCCAGTTTCCAACAGATGGGCATTTGGGCTGTTTCCAAGTTTTAGCTGTTACAAACTGTGCCGCTATAAACATAGGGGTGCATATATCACTGTGATATGATTCTTTTAATTCTTTTGGAAAGATACCCAGCAGAGGGATGTCTGGGTAAAATGGAACCTCTAATCCTAGTTCTTTGAGGTATCTCCGTATTGATTTCCATAGTGCTTGCACCAGTCTGCACTCCCAACAACAATGGAGAAGGCTTCCTTTCTCCCCACAGCCCTGCCAGCATTTGTTATTGTTTGATTTCTTGATAGCAGCCATTCTTTCTGGAGTGAGGTGGAATCTCAGTGTTGTTTTCATCTGCATCTCTTGAATGACGAGTGATGTGGAACATTTTTTAATATTTATTTGCAGCTTTTACTTGTTTGAGAAATGTCTGTTCATTTCAGATGCCCATTTTTGAATCGGGTCTTTCTATTTTGGGTGCCTGATTTTTTTGAGTTCTTTATATATTCAAGATAATAGTCCTTTGTCTGAGGAGCAGCTGGTAAAAATTTTTTCCCACATTGTAGATTTGTCTCTTAGCTCTGTTGATGGTTTCTTTTGCAGTGCAGAAGCTTTTTAATGCGATGAGATCCCAGTTGTTGATTCTTTGTGCTAGTTCCTGTGCTACTGAGGATTTGTTCATAAAGTCTTTACCTATGCCTAACTTATGTTCCAGTAATTTTAGAGTTTCTGCCAATGTCTTCAAGAGTTCTGCCTAACTTTTCTTCCATTAAGTTTAGTGTTTCTTTTTTTAATATTGAGATCTTTAATCCACTTGGATTTTAGTTTAGTACATGGTGAAAGATAAGGGTCTAGTTTTAATCTTTGGTAGGTTGAAATCCAGTTTTGGAAAAGATTTTTCTAATGACAATATTAAACTCACAAAATAAGAGAAAGCTGGGTTGCTTTCTGTACCTAAAACACCTGCCATAAAATAGACTGATACTAAAAGTGGTATACAAATTTAGCTATTTGTTCCATTGGATAAAATAAATAAGAAAGCATGATTAACTACATGATCAAGTTGTTATGTTATAAAGCCAATCTGAAGTTTCTTTCATGGGTCTTCACAAAGCAGAGCTACCATGTGAAGTAGGTAAATCACGTCAGCACCATCCCTGCATAAACTGCATTTACAGTTTAATGAGACTGATTCTTAGCAGCCATTTACCCCAGGCCTTATATGGTCTGACAAGCTTTATAGTTTTAATGATTAAAAGTTATTCTTTGAGGAGCTAAAAGGCCAGTGAATATTTATAATTTCTGAGACCTGAAGAATTTTCCAGAACAGCATGTCCCAAGGCCCTGGTAGTTTCAAAGATGGGCTCATTTTTAATAATTGATTGGAAAACCATGCATGGTTATTTCATAAATTCTCTCAACCTCAAACAATTTACTTTTTATATTAGACATTTATCTTCACGTTTTAGTCTGCATTCTAATCCCCAAAGTCTCTTGCACACTAGGGTCACAAAATGTGGAAGCCTTGAAACAATACAAATGAACAGGCCATATGTGAGCAGATCTGCAGGTCTCTTGCTTTGGTCAAAGGTTTTTCTAAAAGAAAGGTAATGTAATGAGTCATGTGTTTGGAATTAGAGTGAGTAGACTTAAAAAGATACTAGATAAATATTAATATTGCAGTGGTAGTGAACCTGTGGCACACATACTGCAGCAGGTTGTTACTATTGAGAGCTCTAAAAGGTTCACCATGACTGTAGTAGAGAGTAAGAATATTGTAGGGATATTGGAATTAATATTTTTGTGACTGTAGTTTGAGAATTACTGGTCTTCTAGCATTATGCAATCACATTTACCAGAATAGTGGATTATTCTGTATCTGCACCATCTAGTTCCATAGCCTGTATTCAAGGTAGCAGTTGGGTGCTTGTACTGTTGCTAAAGTGACTGAGGAACTAAACTTTTAATTTTACTTTTTTCATATTTAAAGAACTTTAGTTTCAGAGGTTCCAGTCCATGAGTAGCTGGCTGTTGCTTTGGGCCAGGTAGTAAATTATGGCAGGAGTGTGTAGCAGAGCAAAACTGAACACCTCATGGTGATGGAGCAAGAGTATGTGAGAGACTGGAGCACCAAAATCCCCTTTTCGGACATATCCCCAGCAACCTGAAGAGCCACCCCAAAGGGCTCCAGCACAACCTCCCAGTAGCACCCAGCTGCTGACCAAGGCTTTAATACATAAAACATTGGGGAACACTAAGATCCAAATGATAACAGTGTCCAACCACTAGACAGACAGTGCAGTCCTAGAGAATGGAAAAAAGATTGCTTGTCTTTTAGGCCATCTAAAAACAGAATGACATAGCTAGGCATAGTGTCACATGCCCATAATCCCAGCCCTCAAGAGACTGAGGCAGGAGTATTATAAATTAGATCCCAGACTGGGCAAATTTAGTGACATCACTAGACCTTGTCTCAAAATAACAATTAAAAAAGGGCTGGGAGGGCCGAGAACTTGGCTCAGTGGTTCCACCACCTGCCTCGCAAGCACAAGGACCCAAGTTCTATCCCCGGTACCAAATAAAATAAAATTAGGATGCTTGAGTTCATGGATCACACTTAGATGCAATATTAATATAGTTGTTACCTAAAACATTGAATTTGCAATTATTTCATAACATTGAAGCATAACATAAAAATGGAAAGCTATGGGTATATTAATACAGGACCATTTTCCCAGTTTCCAGAGTGTGGATTCTTTGGCATGTATGACAAAATTCTTCTCTTTCGCCATGACATGAACTCCGAAAATATTTTGCAGCTGATTACCTCAGCAGATGAAATACATGAAGGAGATCTAATAGAAGTTGTTCTGTCAGGTAAGTGAATAGCTCCTTTTATTTTTTTTTACCTTTTTAGTTTTTTTTTTTTTTTCTGAGTTTAATTTTCTGTGCTAAGTGCTGTGTTCTATTACCACTTAATCTTGGTACTATACAGTTGCCTGCTCCTTTCATTTATAATGTTACTGTGCGATTTTTTTTTAAACTTTCAGGAAGGTTAGATCACAGATGGGAAAGTAGGAAAATGAACTGTGACTCACTTCAATGTTAACTAAGCCAAAGGAATTATCAGCTCAACTGGAAGAGAAATATATTCTTTCTGTGTTGAAGAAATGAAACAGTATTAAAGTTCTATTACAATTGAGAATCAGGAAAGAAAATTAAGAAAAGTGGAAAAACACTGAACATATAGAAGAAGAAGTGACACTATTTTGCTGTTTGCATGTCTTAAATTCTTCTCTTTTTGTTTCCAGTGGATTTCTCCTTTTCTTATTTTACCCATTCTTGTCATTCCTTATTCCTTAACTCATGCTATTTCTGCTATTAGCCAACAGCAAGTGGACAGGATTGTTTGTGAATATGAAGAGAGGAAGCTATAATGATGCACACAGTAGGTCTGCAGTGCAGCTTTTTTTGGCAGGAAAGGGGTATTGTTGGAGAAAGGAAGCAAGCTGGCTAGCCACAGGTTCAGAGTCCTGCTGTCACTTTTCCCTCTCCAGTACTCACCTGTTCTTGAGATCCTCTTAAAAATTTCATTCATCTTCTGCTTCTAATCGTGTTTGTGTAGCTCTCCTGCATGATCACTCATCTAAACCACAACAGCAGACCATCTCTCTACTTCCCATTCTTTATCTTCCTTTTCACTCATGAAGGACTTCACTCCCTGTCCTTTCTGAAGATCATGCTCCTATCCATCCCTGCTGTGCTATGGATCTGTCTCAAGTCACAGGGACATGACTAATGACTTACAGGCTGATGTGGGAGGAAGATTTCTGTGTCCTGTTGCTCATTGAAGGGAAGAGTCTTTTTCTCTTAACCACTAGGACTAAGGAGAACAGACAGAATATTCTGTCTCCAGAGTGGAATCCTAAGTTAGAACTCAGTATCTTTTCCCACAGCAGTAATATAAAATTAAAGTTAGGTTCCACAGGTTGTTTTTTCGTTTTGCTGGGGAAGAGGGCAGGGACCTTCCATTTTTCCCCTACCATGATTTTACTTTTTACTTTAGTATTCTATGGTCCAGCTTATGATAAGGAAAAGAGTTTTGGAGCAGATATTTTTGTTTTTATGGACAGATCCCACTATATGGCCTGGACTAGTTTCGAACTTGAGAACCTTCTTCAGCCTCCTGAGTGCTGGAATTATGGGCTTGTACCACAGTGCTCAGCACTAAATAGTTTTTAGTTGGCTAACATAGAGCCAACAGCTATTTGCAGTCTGGTCATTCTAAGAAAGCACTTTGAATGTCCAAATACCTAGCCTACAGACCTCCAAGTTGAATTGGAACTCAACTTATTTGAAGCTGGTAAACTTTTTAGACCTTAAAAATCAGGTTTTTTAAATCACAGTATTAAATCCCCAAAATACTTTATTTTTATGATCAGATGAAACTTTAAGGAAAATATTTGACAAAATGGTGAACATCCCTACTTGCTTTGCAATTACAAATAGAAAATTTAATGCTTGTCTTTTTTAAAAGCTTTGGCCACAGTAGAAGACTTCCAGATTCGTCCACATACTCTCTATGTACATTCTTACAAAGCTCCTACTTTTTGTGATTATTGTGGTGAGATGCTCTGGGGATTGGTACGTCAGGGGCTAAAATGTGAAGGTATGTGTTTTAAAATTTTTATAGTCGTTTGATAGAGTATGTCACATTTCCATTTTTTTAATTATTATTTTCAAATGAAAAACCAAGATCAAGTTAGGTGTTAAGGTAGTAACCAACTTTACATTTGCAGAGATCAGAACTCTGGACCTGCCTCTGCTACATACTTCTTCCTATCCTTAGGCAAGATCCTAGTCCTCTTTGAGTACTGATTTCTATGTAAATATACTCTACCTCACCAGTTTCATTACTGGTTAAATAAGGTAAATAGATAAAACATTCAATAAAAAGCAGTGGCTAAGGAAATAATAAACTCCTTACTTAGCATATCAACTTTTTAGAAAGCTGACTGACTTCCTTCCTTATCTTTTTAGAAAGTTAAATCTCATATATAACACAAAATTGTCAAAGATTTTCTGAATTAACATGGCTAGGGCGTAGGCTGCACATATACATTTTGATTAAGGAGAAGTCTTCTATGTGGAGAGCCAATAAACTTTTTCTGTAAAGGGTCAGAGAGTAAATATCTTAAGCTTCACGGGCCATGTGGTCTCTATTGTGACTAAACTCTGTTATTATAAAGTGAAACTAACCATAGACAATATGTAAACAAATGGCGTGGCTCTTATCCAGTAAAACTTGTATTTATAAATATTGAAATTCAGGTTTTATATAATTTCTCATTATGGGAAATAGTACACAGGACTGTTTGCTGCTGACTAGTGTTTTAAGCCACTGGTTCTCAAAATGTATTAAGTATCAGAAAACATACTTTGCTTGACACCATCCCCAGAGTTTCTAATTTAGTAAATCTAGGGTAAAGCCTAGTAATTTACATTTCTAATACATTCCCAGTTGATTGCTTTAGGGGCTACAAAATCCACTACTTCAGATAACTTAACCTTTCTAAATACAGCTTTCACCATAGATCTTATTCTTGTTCAGTTTATAAACTTGCGCTCAGGTGTTGTCATCTAGGTTTTTATTTAGAATAGTATTGTTGCTAGAGAAAATAAATAAAAGAAGCACTAGTTGTTATATTTTACTCTTAACCAGTAAAGTTTTTTTTATAATCCTATATTTTGCTTTTTAAAATATATTTAGGCTGTGGATTAAATTATCATAAAAGATGTGCCTTCAAGATTCCAAATAACTGTAGCGGAGTAAGAAAGAGACGTCTGTCAAATGTATCTCTCCCAGGACCTGGCCTCTCAGTTCCAAGACCTCTCCAGCCTGAATGTGTACCCCTGCTCAGCGAAGAGGTATGTATTCTAAGGTAATAGAAGGACATTTTACTAGTTATTCCTAATATTTCTGTGGGATATAGAAGAGCATGTGCTTTACCATTCTCCTAGGAGCACACAAGAAAGAAAATATTGGGTCTAAGTATGTAAAAAATGAAGATAATCACCAAGTAATACCAAAGCTAGTAATTGAGAAATTACTCATTTTATTTTTATTTATTTTGGGGGGGTACCAGCGATTGAACTCGGGTCCTTGCTCTTGCAAGGCAGGCCACCGAACCACTGAGCTAAATCCCCGGCCCAGAAATTACTCATTTTAAATGCTTTGATTTTATTATTTTATATAATTGAGAATTAGTAAAGTTACAGATTTTTGTGAGCAGTTAGTCAGATGTTAGCTTAAACCTAAATTGTGGAAATAATCACATTTTTAGAAAATTTCTGACTGCACACAAATAGAGAAGAAGCAACAGTTCAAGCTAAGCACCAGTTTATATAAGTAGGGAACTTTAAGAATTTTCACTCAGTTCTAGTTACTCTAGTTTCAATGGCTCAAACTCCCTTCCCCTCCCCTCTTTTTTCTCTTTGCAGTGATAGGAATCAAATCCAGTGCCCTGAGCATCCTAGGCAATCAGTTCTACCACTGAAGTAAATTCCTAGCCTCAGTGGTCCCTTTATCATCAAATTTTCTAGCTAACTATACTAATATCCTCCTCCAAAATTCTGTTTAAATCTACCATATCTTTCCTCCCTTCCTCATTCAACAGAGAAGCAAAGCTTTGGTACTGATGGGTTTGGGTTTTTTTGGTTTGTTTTTGTTTTTGTCTTTTTTTTTTTCTTTTTTTTTCCAGACAGGTTCTCACTTTATAGTTCAGGCTGACCTTAAATTCACAGTGATCTTCCCGATTCCCCAATGCTAGGATTATAACCATGTGCCACCACAGCTGGTTCTGGTGGGGTTGTATTGTAATCCCAGGTGTATTGGCAGCGGGGGGGAAGATTAACAATCCCTGGACTACAATGTAGAAAACCCAAATTTAAGACTTGATTCTAACACTGCCACTTGGTAATGTTCTCTTAAGCCTATTTATTTTCATATTTTAAATTGGGATAATAAAATAGATAACTTTGTACTGGATGTGACAAATTAGGTGGTTGCTACAACCACCATTCCCTCAGTAGTTCGTGGCACACATGCTCTGTACTGTTCCTTAATACTCTAGTCCCAGTTGGACCTGACCAAAAGGCATTCATACTGGCTAAGTCAGTCTTTGCCCATCTTGTTTTGAACTTAATATAAGACTGAAAGTGGTAGAAGCAGGAGCAAGAGGAGCATAATGTTGAGTCACCATAGAATAGGGAGCTGGGTGAGCAAAGACTGAAAACATCTTGTTCTAGTTGCCTGTGGTCTCTTTAGCTGTGCACAATCACTGTAGTGTCCTTTGGCTGAAGTTGGGCGATACATGGCAGGAGGAGGAGTGAGCCAGACTAGAGTAGGACACCCTTGGACATCTAAAGCCCTCAAGTGTGGTTTGGGGTTTAACATTATTATTATTTTTTTAACTGTTCCTGAATTAAACCACTTCAAAATTCATTTTAGAAGTGTAGTCGCTTGGTTTCTTCTGACTTTCGTTTCCATTGGTTGAACATGCCAGTGTAGAATGACTTCTCTGAGTGATAAATATTATTTGGCCTGGAAGGCAACTAAACAATTTCAGGATCTCATTTCTGGTGTGAATATGCAGGTAGTTACAACAAAATCTATTAATACTTCTAGGTGGCAGTTAGGAATTTGGTTTTTAAGCTTGAGAATGTGGATTATGCTTTATTCATTTTTGGGTCCCAAATTCATAAGGACTAGCATATAACACATGAATGTTTGTCAAATGGATATAATGAGCCACATTGAATTGGCATATAATTTAGTTTGGTTACATATTCTTATATATAGAAAAAGCCATAGTTACAAAAATCTGCATGTCCCTTAGGTTACTTTTTTTGGGTGATACTAGGTATCCAACTCAGGGAAACGCTAGCACTAAGCTACATCACCAGTTCTTTTTCTTTTTTATTTTGAGATAGGTTCTCAACTAAATTGCACAGATAAGACTTGAAAGTTTAATCCTCCTGCCTCAGCCTCCCTTAGTGCTGACATTATAGGCATGCACCACCACACCTCTCTTACACAAAGATTTTTAAATTGTTCTTTAATTTTGTGTTTTTGCTTACCTGGGAGAAAAAAAAACCCAAAGAACTAGAAACACTAAAAATGTTAGGGATCTACTAACAGTGTAATTACTGAGGCTAAATTTTCTTTGTCTTTTTTTTTGTACCAGGGATTGAACTTGGGACCTTGCTCTTGCCAGGCAGGTGGCTGAACCACTGAGCTAAATCGCTGGCCCTAAAATTTATTTTAATTTGTTCTGTATCTGCCATTATTTATGGAACAAAAATTAATTAGACTTCTTTTTTGGGGTGAAGGGGTAATGCTGTGAATTGAAGCTGGACTCTTCTCCCTGAGCTACAGTTCCTACTGCTTTTAATTTTTGACAGGTGGTCTTGAATTTGTGATCCTCATGCCTCAGCCTCCCAGATTGATGGGAACAGACTTGTGCCACTGCACCTGACTACACTTAAAGTTTTACATACATATCTTAATGTTGGTTGAGATAAATTTGAAAATGTAAGATTTGTTCCAAAATATTTTTAGACACTTTCAGTAATGCAGCATTATTTCCTGAATTTATTTTCCTGTAACTAATTCCTTAATCACTTTTGAATAGATCTGAACATGTTATAAGTTAATTTTTTTAACAACTTTATTTTTATTTATTTATTTTTTTTCTGTTTTTTTGGTACCAGGGCTCAAACTCTGAACCTTGAGCTTGCAAGGCAGGCACAGTGCCACTGAACTAAATCCCCAGCCCTTGTTATAAGCTCATTTTAAGGTTTTGGTTATTTTTTAAATGCTGAATGTATGTGGCAAATAACATCAGTGAATGTATAAATGTGAGTATTAACATACCTTAACTTTATTCGTTTAGTTTAAAAGGGTGAAAAAAAGAATCTGTACTTTTCTACTTCAAGATTTGGTAAATTCAGCTTTTCAAAGGAAACTGTTCAGATCTGCATTTGTAGAATGTTAGCTTTGGCAAGCCAAATAAATGACTTTTGTGGTTAAGCTTTGCTCCTGATACTTTGTTTTTAATATTGACTTAAACTTATGAGAATTACTTACATTTTAGTCACATATCCACCAAGAACCAAGCAAGAGAATTCCATCTTGGAGTGGTCGCCCAATCTGGATGGAAAAGATGGTACTGTGCAGAGTAAAAGTTCCACACACGTTTGCTGTTCACTCTTACGGCCGCCCCACAATATGTCAGTACTGCAAGCGGCTACTGAAAGGTCTTTTTCGCCAAGGAATGCAGTGCAAAGGTAGGATCGGATATTTTCCTTAAGTAAAATTCATGTCTGTTTTTGTTAATAAACATAGGTTTAAACATTTATATTTCAGAGACATTTGCTGAAGAAATTGTTCTTGCAGTTAACTTTTTAAAAGAAAAGAAAATGTATATATATGAAAAATGTATGTATACATGTTAACTACCATTTGCAGTATTTGTACTATGTACCAGCCACTGTGCTAAAAAAGAAAATAATTCAAAGCAACTGTATCTGAAATAATCCTTTTGCTGTTAGTACTAGTAATTTTCTATTTAAATGCATTTCTTAAGATAACATAGCCAATAAACAGAAAAAATAAACTTCGGATCTATGACTACTTCCCTGTATGTTTAACACTTAGCAGTATAGAACAGCTTATAAGCAGCAAAACTAACATTTGAGCTTAAATCTTTTTGATTCTAGAGCCAGATGCTACTTAAAATAGCAGTAATACAGTATTCACACACACATACGTAAATCACTACAGGGATTTGGATTTTTTTGTTTTCTTTTCTTTTCTTTCATACAGGTAGGAGAGCAGTACAAAAATGTACAATTATTCTGAATAATAATCACGTTAAAATAAGTAGGATGTAGAATAAGCCACTTAAATTATGAGAGACCACTCTTTGGATATTAACCCAGCACACTTACCAAAGTATTCCCAAAATATCTCTTGACCAAACACATTTTTAATGGAGTAATGGATTCATTTTGTTCTTAAGCTTTTATGCTTTTAAAAATGATTCTGTCTTTTTGTTTAATATCTTCTCTCTAGTACTGTATAATATAGTGAACACTAGGGAATTAAAGCATTTTAATTTATTAGTGATTGAATCCCATGTTAAGCTGGAATGGTCTCATGTAATTAATTTAACAGTTCTTGGTATCATGCTTTTTAAAAATATAGTAGAATGGGCCAGGGATTTAGCTCAGTTGTGCTGCCATCTGCTTCACAAGCCCAAAGTCCCAAGTTCAATCTCCGGTACCCTGCCAAAAAATATATATATAATAGGAGAATTTGTGGAGCCAAATTATCAAAACATTAGGGTTGCGATTTTTGCAATAATAAGTCCTTCTTACAACATAGAATAAGATAGTTTAACTTAAATGTGTAAGAAAAGGGCTGCACATAGGGCTCAGTGGTTGAACGCTTACCTCACATGCATGAGGCCCTGAGTTTCGTTCCCAGCTTTACAAAGGAGAAGAACTTTTCTTCACACTGTCTGACAGCATCCAACATCACATGAACATGTTCTCCATTTGTTGTCAAATATTTAGTCACCATTATGCAGGCATAATTAAATGTTGAAATTTTATTTCAACAGCTTAATTTGAATATGTTAATACATACATTAATGCTATAAAATATCAGCACAAACATATATTGGCAGGCAGCCACTAAAAATTAGTTTGAGAAAGAACATTAATAGCAGATGTAAAAATCCTAACCAACAAATAACCTTAGTAAAGGTAAGTTAATAATACCTAGCAGGATAAAAACAGAATGGAAACATTCTAAAACCAAATGTAGAAAAGCACAGTATTATGTAGAGGATTTATGTGTGTTGATGAATTTTTAAATAAAACTCTGCAACTGGATTATTAATTTACCTTTTTAGAATTTTAGAAGAATAAAGTTTTACACTTATTAGTTCAGAAAATAGCAGATTATATTTCTGAACAGCTAAGCTTTTCTGGTGATTAATAAAAAATAAATTACTTCAGTGATTCTTTTATTTTTATAATATGCATTAAGGTGTTTAAAAAGTGAAATAATCATCATTTTCATGCATTTGTTAAGCCAAAAGAGATATAGTTTAAGATAGATACACTGATTGAAAACTGTTCTTCACTCATTTATTCCTTCATCCATTTATCTAATTTTCTTTTTTGCTGTATAAAAACCTTAAGGTATCTTGAAATCATATGTGAAATATAATAAAAACATAAACAGATTACTAAAAATATGGGTTAAGACCATAAATAAAAATACCTGCCATTAGAACCTTTGTAATACTTAGGCTAGGTGTGGCTTTGCATGCCTGTGTCCCAGCACTTGAGAGGCTGAGGCAGGATGATCTCTGAGGTTGAGACCCGCCTGGGCCTCCTCATAGTGAGCTCAAGGCCAACCTGATCTACACAGCAAGACCGTATCTCAAAAACTTTGCATACTTGATACAGGTGGGCCACAAATTTGGCCTAAATTTTTAAAGAAAAAGGGAACCATATTATTTTCAAGATTTGCAGAGCTCATAGATAAAACCAAATCTGTTGTTTGAAAGGTGTACAAGACATTAATAATATCATATACAAATTATTCCCAGGACTCGTAAAGACCATGTTTTATTTAATATGAAACTTATTCACCAAATTTTTAATTTTTAGGGGTTTTTTTCCCTGTAATGATCTTCAGCCTATGCTGGTAACATAATACTTAAGACTTCCTTGAGTCACAAGAATTACAAAGCATTCCCAGTCAGGAGTCAAAGTTTTTACCAAGTTATTGTTGGTAGATTCATTTCAGAGCAGTGTTAGACCTAGTTACTTCAATGGGTTTCAACTTAAGGTCACTTACAGAGCTCATTAAGACACATTTGTCAGCCCTATTCTAGACTTTTGGCTTGGGACCTTAGGGATTTGCATTTCTTTTGAACAGATTTTACTTAACCCTAACAGTGCTGTTAACGCTGAGGTTCTTATAGGCTGAAGAGAACTATTATGTAAAAATGGGAGATGTTGTGCCTGAGAAACTGAGTCCTTTCATGTGTAAAAGCCCTTATGAGATTCCTAATAACTGTTGAATCTCACGCTCCTTTCTGTATATGTGTCAAGCATTAATACTTAAGGAATTGAAAATAATGTAACTGACATAATATTGGATTGACATTTCATCACGGGTGTAGAAGGATGAATATGAGGTAAGAAAAGACCAGGTAGCATGTTTTTTGGAGTGTTATACAAATGGCATTAGCTTTATTATACAGTTGAAGAAACTGATGTAGGTAGGATTAAGTGACGTGGGAGGTTAAACAACTATTAAAATGTGCCATCAGAAGTTAAAAATCAAAATTTTAGTCAAGATTTGAGTTCCATTGGGCTTGCTGGTGCATTCCTGTAATCCTAGCATTTGGAAGGCTGAGGCAGGAGGGTCACTGTGAGTTCCTAGTTGAGAATGACACATATATTTTTTTTAATAGCAACATTATCATTACTGATTTTCTTCTATGAATTATTTAAAGTCTAGCCAAATCTGATACTGCCTATCTACATATAATAATAAACTGTTAATTTTATTTTAGATTGCAAATTCAATTGCCATAAACGCTGTGCATCAAAAGTACCAAGAGACTGCCTTGGGGAGGTTACTTTCAATGGAGGTACAGTTATTTTTCTTAATTTCCATAAAAGGTCAGAAAGGGTTATGATTCTTTTGTGTAAGATTGTATTTGTAAGATTATATTTTTTTACTTTATTTAATGTTTTCTTCTGGTTTAATAATCAGCAAATAGAGTGATATTATACCTTTATTAGTAATTATGTTCCTTAACCCACGTACCACTTTATAATCTGAGATAGCCCGTGGTGCTGCATGTCCTCTTCCATCTGTAGACAGAAAAAGATATTTGTTCTAAAACTCTGCTGTTTGTTTCTTCTTTTAAAATTCTTAATATTTATTGACTGTTTACTATGCTACACTGTTCTGAACTCTAAAAGTACCTTTAAACAGAAGAACCACACTTTGAGGTAAGGAAAAGAAGCACAGTCCTGCCAACACATTTTTGCAGGATTGTACAAATGGTTTTCATATACAGATGAAGAAACTGATCCCAAAGGGTTGAGTGACTTGTGGGAGGTTACCCTGAGGAAATACTAGGTAATACAGAATAAATAACTGGCCCAAAATCCAGCCTGTAAGTGACAGAGCCAGAATTTGAACCCATAAGATCTTGCTCTTGAGTTCGTAGTCATTAGAACGCATACTGCTTGTCTCTTTCTCATTACATAATCATTAGTCAAATATTTTCACTTTTGCACTGTATTTTCCCCTCAGTTTTCAAGTAATACCAACTAAAGCCATTACCTTTTGTTTTTTAGAAGGAAGGCAATAAGGGCTTTAAACTTTCAACATAATTTTCCTTTAACAATTCATTTGACTCAAAAAATGAATGGAAATAATTCTGTAGGAAAAGCATAAGGAATAAAAATTAAGCTTCTAGATTTTAACATTTTCTGTTATGGCATATTTTCTGTGGTGGCTGGTTGTCTTGGTCTTTTGGGGCTGTTAGAATGCCATAGGCTGGATAGTTTACAAACAGAAATTCGTATCTCATGCTTTGGAAAGCTGAGAAGCCCAAAGTACTGGCAGAATCTGTGTCTCATAAGTGTTGATCTCTTCTCCTGGTCTGTGATTTTGCCTTTAACCATATCCTTATGTGGCGGAATGGAGGAAGGAACACCTTTGAGCCTATTTTATAAGACCACGAATTCCACTGAAGAGAGCAAAGGCCTCATGACTTAATCCTTGACCAAAGACTCTACTTCCTGACACCACTACCTTGGGAGTTGGGATTTCTACATATGAATTTGGGTATAAACTATCATTCCACCATAGCTACTTAACATCATTGACAAAGTATGATTGGTTTTCTCTTTTAATTAATCTGAATTAATACGATGTATTTTAAATTTTTATTTATTAGTACTTGTTTGCAGTTCATAGTGATTGCATTCATTGTGGTAGGTTGGTACATGTGCATAACATGTCATATTTCTCTTTTCATCCCTTCTTCCTCCCTTTCCCCACTATCCGTCTCTTGGTCCCTTTCCTCTTTTATGACTAAAATCTTCTCTTAAATTTATAAGTTTACATATTTGTATTTTTGTGTTTTTCTACTTTTGACCATTGGATATGCAATTTCTATTTCTGTTTATATATGTTTTTCTAATTGCTGGCAAGTTCGAGCATATGTTTACTGGTTGGAGTTTTTATCCTTGTAAGTTATGTATTCAGATGCTTATTTTTGTTTGTTTTTACAGATTTGCAGGAGTTGTTGCTAGTGTTACATCCTGGTCCTTTTTCAGTTATATGTGGTGTAAATCCTTGGTGACTTAATCTTTTTTCATAGTTTTAGTGAGATAGAATTTGCACAGCTCACTCGCTTAGTGTATTCACAGTTATACAGCCATGACTACAATCTGATGTTAGAACATTTTTTTGTCACCTGAAAATTTCTGTAATTAATAGTCACTTCACAGCCTCTCTTCCCCACTAGCCAGTGGCTTACTAGTAATCACCTATTTCTTTGTGTTTGTCTCTTTTAGACTCTTTAAGTGGAATTATATACTTTTTAATCTTATAATTGGCTTCTTTTATTGAGCGTAGCATTTTTAGGGCTTATCCATATTGTAGTATATGTCAGTATTTCAGTCTTTTTTATTGACAAATAATACTACTCTGTAGAGATACCCTACACTTTATCCATCATGTTTTCAGGGCGTCCACTTTGAGACTGTTATACGTAATGTTGCTTGGAACACACATATAATTTTTTCTGTGAACATTTTTGCATTTTACTTAGGTAGATATCTAATACAACTATTGAGTTACGTAGTATTTCTATGTTACATGTTTTGAGAACCTGCCACACTATTTTCCAAATCAGCTGTACCATTTTGCATTCCCACCAGCAGTGTACAAGGATTCTGGTTTCTCTGTATTCTTGTCACCAGTTGTTACTGTCTCTTTTTATTACAACCATCTAATAAGTGTGACCTGTACCTTGTTTTAGTTTTTCACTTGCATTTCCCTTTTGACTGATAACGTTTAGCATCTTTTCATGTTTATTGGCTATTTTTATTTCTGCTTTGGAAAACTATCTTTTCAAGTCCTTTGCCCATTTACTAAATTATTTCTTTTTTTGTTATAAGTTGTAAAAGTTTTTCAATAGTCTGCATTTAAGTCCCTTATCTGATACACAATTCACAGACACTTTCTTCCATTCAGTGACAATCTTTTCACTTTATTGGTTTTTCTTTTGTGACTTAAGTTTCGTGGTTACATCAAAGAATGTATTTCCTAACCCAAGATCACAAAGATTTACTCGTATGTTTTCTTCCAAGAGTTTTATAATTTTAGCTCTTATATTTTAGATTTTGATCTACTTTGAGTTAATTTTTTATATGGTTTAAGAAAAGGATCATACTTCACATTTTTGCCTGTACGTATCCAGTTGTCCTAAAACCATTTATTAAAAAGACTATTCTCCCCTTGCCCTCCCACATTAGTTAATCATAAAGTGATAGTGAAGCCTTATCTTTTACTTATTTATATGCAGTACCTGATTATGTTCAGTACCTGTTTATATATAGTACCTGTTCTTGTTTGGGAATTTAGAATTCTAATGTAATAAAATTAATTTTGTACCTTAATGATTCATGCATTTTGTATCTTATCTAAGAAATAAATACTTCTTTATCTTGCATCACAAGTATTTCCTATTAAAATTTTTGAGACTTTTTTCTAGTTAATAGACTCTCTGTTTAGGGGCCAGGGGTTTAGCTCAGTGGAGCTGTGCCTGTCTTGCAAACACAGGGTCCTAAGTTCAATCTCTGGTACCTGAAAAAAAAAAAAAAAAGACTGGAATAGACTTCTCTGTTTAGATGTGTTGCTGTTTCATTCATGTAAAACTCTGAAATTAATTTAAAACCATGCCAGAACCTTCCAGTATGGGAACAGATACAGATATACCAATGGACATTGATAGTAATGACATGAATGCTGATGGTAGTCGCAGTTTAGATGACACAGAAGAGCCATCTCCTCCAGAAGATAAAATGTTCTTTCTGGATCCATCTGATCTCGATGCAGAACGAGATGAAGAAGCTGTTAAAACCATCAGGTAATGTGTGGGTGGTGGAAGTTACTTCCAAATGCAGAGTCAAGATTACTATTTCAGAACATTAAGAAAAAGCTACATTTCTTTAAGTAAACCCTTAAATGTAATTTAAAATCTAATTAAATCATGGATAATTCTTTTACAAGTACCGTAGTATTTTTGAAGTAAGTTATATCACCTTTGCCATGTACTCAAGATAGGAAAATAGGGGAATTCCTTCTTAAAAGGAAAAGTACCTTATTTAAATACAGCCAGCAGCCCCCACAAGGATCCAGTATTAAACTTTCCATTAAAGCAGCTAGTTTCTTTATACAGGCAGATTACCTTATAGTAAAATTAGCAGTAACAATTATATTTACTCCCAAGAACAGTGCACAGAAATGATGGTGATGTTGGGAATGTCTTTCATATCACCATAATTAATGTATTACTTCATAGTTACTGAACTATTATCAGTACTTAGTGTAACTAGATTATAAGATTTAAATATTCCAGTATGTTTTATACAGTGTTTGTAGCCTATAGGATATACTACTTTATAGCAAAATGTAAGTATTTTAGCAGGCTTTGCTTTTTATTGGCAGTGAATGAAGAGTTATTTAGAGAAAATGGGTCAGTCTCACAAGGCTGAGTAATCATTTATTCACTTTGGCTTGTAATTAGATTACAGTTGTTAATGTTGTTGCTGATGCTGTTGTTGTTACGTGGTATTTATCCTGTTTGGAGACTAATGTTAACGAACATAACTAGTTTCCTTATCACAAATTACTTCATAGTTTAAGAGAAAGTATTTAACTGTTGGCTGCCCAAATTGCAAAACAGTGTATTTTACACACACATGCCAAATTGACCCTTTTCTCCACCTATGGTCATGGCTCATAGTTCAGTATATTCTGATTGACTCATTACAGTTTTAAATTGTAATTACTATTAATCCTTTTCCTTTGAATATTTTCTGCTAGAAGTACTTATTGTCAACAGTAGGATCCATGGAGTTCCACATTTTAGCCATGTGAATTTGAGTGCTATATATGTATTTTACCTTGTGAATTTGCTAATTTTTTATGATGCCTAAGGAAGGCAGGAAAACTCCAAAACAAACCAGATGTGATCCTTTGCTATTTCCTGATCTTTTAGTTGATAAGCATTCCTTCACTCTTTTCCCGTTTTTTGTGAGCTGTGCCCCCAGAAAACATGCATAATAAATAATGAATATTTATATAATCTGTCTTGTATAAATTAACTCCTTGCCATAATAATAGGACTGATTTATTTTAAGTCTTTATCTTCCTAAAGATATTTTTGAAGTTTTAGCTTAGTTTTTAAAAGTTTGATGAGTTTACAATATTTTTAATCAGAATTGCAGATACTTATTATAAATTTGTAATACCTTTTAGTCCATCAACAAGCAATAACATCCCACTAATGAGGGTTGTACAGTCTGTCAAACACACAAAGAGGAAGAGCAGCACAATGGTGAAGGAAGGGTGGATGGTCCACTACACCAGCAGAGATAATCTGGTCAGTAATCACATTTTATTATGCTAATAAAACTTGGTTATGAGCTTTATTTTGTGTCTATAAATGTATCCTAAAGCAATATGTAAGAGTTACACAGAAATGTTACACTTACAAAGAATTTTTGAAAGCTATTGTATTGTTTTACAAAGGAAGAGCAGTCTGTTCAAAAAGGATCTGATGTCACAATTAAGAGTAATGACTGAGTGAGCTACATACAGCTAGAGGTGGAAGGATCTGAAACTTCATCTGAAAATTCATCTTAAGTTATTAAAAAGATAGGAAATACTTGTTTGTGTGTAGACCAGTTTTTAACTCTGTCTAGCAGAGAAAGAGTGGTGAGGTTACAGAAGGATGGCAGTTGATAGAAGCATCAGCTTAGTATAGTAAGAACATAGACTTTGCAGTTTGACCGCCTTAGTCTCTGTGGCCTAATAAAACTGTAAAAGTAACCAGGAAAGTTACTTACTTTCTTTACATCTGTAAAGATACATCCCAGTATACGAGAGGAATTCAGAACACCATTTGGCATATAGTAAGCACTTAATAAATGATAGCATTTTTATTTTTCTTCGGAGTTTTCAAAATAGATTACTAAAAGAGACTTTATAGTAAAACCTTTTAAAATGAAGTACTTGGCACATTGAGCTTTTTTTAGTAAAGCTTTATACAGATTTCAGTTGTGTGTGGGTTTTTTTTTTTTTTTTTTTTTTTTTTTTTTTTTTTGATAATCTATATCCTTCCAAATGGAACCTGAAGTTATGTACATACATTTCAGAATTTAGTGGTGTGTCAGAAGTGTTACATCAAATCAGCGGGAAGGATAGATAATCAAGTAAACACTGCCTGCGTTGCAAGCACAAGGCCTGAGTTTGATCCCTGGTACCACACACACACAAAAAAAAAAGAACTGGATAATCAAGTGAATATCATTGACAACCATGTAGCCTTTTTGGAAAAATAAAAGTAAAGTTATAAACATATCTCATACTTTACATGTAATAAATCTAAATGGATCAATAATTTAAATGTAAACAAACCAGTGGAAACTTGAATTATTTTATAAACTCAGTGGGGAAAAATAAAAGATCAATAAATTTAACTTCATAAGAAATTCTGTGTGGCAAAAACCAAATGCAAAGACAAATAGAAACTGGGAAACTATTTTCAGCACATTCTGAACAAGAATTAACTTCATGATACTGTTAATAAACCCAACAAACTGGTAGGAAAAAGTCTGTAGAACAATAGAAAAATGGACAAAGAATATGAACAAAAGTTCACAGAAAAAAATATGAATAACTTACAGGAGCTTGATCTCATGTGTAATAAAAAATATATCAGTCTAACTTGCATGGAAAGTCTAAACTTTCATTGAAATACAAGTTTTTATTTTTCAGTACATCAGATAGTTTAGTAACATTGTACATTAACAAGGCTGTGATTAGTTGCTTTCGTGTTACTGATGAAACTACAAGTTGAATCACATCTTGTGTAGAAAAATTTAACACCATCAAAACAATTACATGCAAAGTGTTTGTAGATGGGGAGGAGAGGAGGGGGTGAAGGGAGGGCAGGGGTAAAGGGAAAGAATGAGAATCAAGACTTGTCATGTAGAGGTACAAGATCCCAACAATGAATATAACTGTACTGTATCCCTAAAATGTACCAATAAACTCAATTAAAGCTGAAAAAATAAACAAACAAACAAGAAAACACAATTGCATGCATAGATGCCTTCTGACCCAGCACACCAACTTCTAGGAATAGCTTGTAGGTAAATTCTCATTCAAATGCCCGCTTTGTGTGTGTGTGTGTGTGTGTGTGTGTGTGTACACTTGCATAATGTATACACGTACACATGAATATCTCTAAAAGGATTCCCAAAAACCTAACAGTATTGTTTGTTTGGAGTAAGACTAAGGTGTGGGATATGAGTGAGGGTGGGAGCGATACTTTTTTTTATACTTTTACTATATATCCTTTTATAGTCTGAGAATTTAGAACCTCTTAAATTTTAAACCTATTCAGAAATACAAATGCATGAAGTAGAAATTAGAGTAAAAGTACTTTTATTTTTGAACCTCACAGTTTACTGATCTCTACTTTATAGAGAAAGAGGCATTATTGGAGACTTGATAGCAAGTGTCTAACATTATTTCAAAATGAATCTGGATCAAAATATTATAAGGTAAGAATTTCACATTTTATAAAAGACATTAAAATATTATATTTTTTCAGATATATTCAAATGATATTCACTGAGTATATCTGTTATGACTCTGCCTAACATAACTTATGAAAGTCACTGTTCCCTTGTTTAAGCACCTGTTCCCCATCCTTCCATTTCACACTGCATCCCCAACAGCCCCACTACCAAAGATTGTTTTCTGTTGATGTACATGTGTGGTTTTGGCCTGTCAGGCTGCTGCTGCTTTGCTTCTGGATACTGTGGTTTTGGTTAGATGCTTAGAAAGTCTTATGATCATTGCCTACGCAGAAGCTGCCACATTATCTTAAGCTCTTAATTCTTGGTTGCTTGTTTTGGCTCTTCATCACCTTTGTGCAGTCTTCCTTGGCTTGCCCTACATTTTGCTGTATCACAGGCTGACAACAAAGAAGATTGCAAGTGTGGCGATGAGGTCAGTAAGAAAGAGAGTGGGAGCTGGGCAGAGGAGAGATTCATCCTTTCAGAGACTTCCAGTTTGATGTTCAATAATTGACAGTACTTGTCCATGGAGGAAAATGAGACAGTTTCCAAAAGAAAAGAATCCAGAATTATAGAATGAGTGAAAATCTTCAATGAATAAAACAAGGTTTCCTGCTTAGGGAAATAGGGATAGGAGAATTGCTTTGGTCTGGGAGTTTGGCACCGACCTGGGCAAAGTAGGGAGAACCCATCTGAAAGGAAAATAGAGAATACTGATGACTTGGTTTTTAAAAAGAAATTTTTGGGCCTTAGGAAATGGACTGACCATTAATTGGTAGTCCCAGAATGGTGAACGTGAGCCACAATGGACTGGTTAAGCAACCTATAATGACCAGAATTCTGCTTCTACCATTATTTCTGCTTCTTTCTTACTTGCAGAAAAACAAAAGCTAGAGAAGTAGCTGTTGAGTTAATTTAATGACAGATGGAAATTGACAAGTGTTGGATATAGTGGCAGACTATCTTCCTACGTCCGTGTGCATCTTAACAACCTGCTGTATAGATCTGAATCTCTTAATATAATTACAGTCCATGCTCTGCCTCTCACATTGCTGGACATACGAACCACTTAAGGCACACACTGTTAATACTTAGTTGTATGTTCTGTATGCTACCTACTGGGTTCACCTTAATGACGCTCTTCAATTCTTTAGTGTATTTAAAAATTAAGACAAATAGGTATTCATATTCTTTAAATGCTTAATTTTTTACTTCAGGAAATTCCACTTTCAGAAATTCTACAAGTATCTTCGCCACGAGATTTCACAAACATTTCACAAGGCAGCAACCCACACTGTTTTGAAATCATCACTGACACTATGGTATACTTTGTTGGTGAAAACAATGGGGACAGCTCTCACAATCCTGTTCTTGCTGCCACTGGAGTTGGACTTGATGTAGCACAGAGCTGGGAAAAAGCAATTCGCCAAGCCCTCATGCCTGTGACCCCTCAAGCAAGTGTTTGCACTTCTCCAGGGCAAGGGAAAGATCACAGTAAGCAATAAGCTGGTTGATGGCTTTTTCTCTTCCTAAAAATGATTTTAAGCATTTGGGGTGTAGTTGTGTTCCTCTGTGCATTTTTAATGTATAACACTGTCTTTAATAAAAGATATCATAAATTAGTTTCTTTATAAAATTACACTTTTTGTCATATTTCACCTTGCATAATGCCCAGATCCGAGTTCTAGGATCAGCCTCCCATACTTAGCTAGCTCTAACAACTGCTATATGACCTTAGGCAAAGTACTTTACCTCTTTGAAGTAGTACCTATTTCATAGGTTGTTAGTGTTAAAATGTAAAGGAACCCATAAGGTACAGAAGAATGCTTGGCATCCATTAAGGCTCATTGAATTAAGTATTATACTGATATTAGCATTTTTGCTTCATGGTAGGGTATACAAAAAATGAAGTGTTATATTCACATCATGCTCATGAAATCTGGTATCAAAATACTATATTTTAATTGAGGTAAAATATTGATTTTTTGGTTGGGGGGATACCAGGGATCGAACTTAGGACCTTGTGCTTGTGAGGCAGGCAACAGAACCACTGAGCTGAATTCCCGCCCATGATAAATATTTTAAAATTATCGAATACATGGTCTATACCATCATAATTTTTAAAATTAAACCTCAGTTTGAAAAAGGTTTGAGTGAGCAGCTGACAATCAAAAAGTCATAATATAATGCTGTTTTTACCCCATTGGTATTATGTTGTAAGGAAACTCATTTTTATTGAAATAAGTTTCAACCACTCTTCAAATATAGTTTGGTTCAGTTTTCCTATGTAATTTTGTGTAGCTCTTCTTGGCATTATGCTAGGCCCTCAGGTAGAACACTAAAGAAATAAATCAAAAGCTATTTAGGGAAATGTGACATACATTACTAAGTTTTAGATGGTAGCATAATGTAGTGCACAAAATGAGGAGTGCATTACTTGAGAAACTCAGATATGGACAGAAGAGTAAGCACAGACTTCCTAGCAGAAAAATCTGATTGGGCACTGTGGGAAGCTGAGGCACGAATATCACATGCTCAAGCCCAACCTGAGCAACTCAGTGACTTAGTGAGGCCTTGTCTAATTGTGGGGGACAAGGAGTGGCTGAGGATACAGATCAGTGCAAAGGTCCTGGGTTTGACCCCTAGTACACAAAGAAAGGAGTAGAGAAGGAAGCTTGGGCTTGGACGTTGGACTTCAGGCTAAGAACAGGATCTGCAGGGCTACACGGCAGATGTAGAAGGAGCAGCGCTACGCTAGTTGAGGAGAAAGGTGTGGTCAAAGAGACGAGGGTCATGACCTTGTTTATGTTTGCTGTGTAATATTGATTTGTTGGTGTGGGGCAAGTAAATGGCTGTTTCACCATGATTTTTCAAGTCTTGGGAGTTTTAGTACACTCTAATTTAGACAGAACATTCTAATTAAAACTTTGCACCCTGTCTCAAAACAATACAGACCCTTACACACACAATTTTTTGTGTAATTTCTTAAAATTTTAGGACCCTTTCAATCCGATCTGTGCATTTCTCCCGTAGAGTTAGTTTCTAAAGAGAAAATCGCAAAAATTAAGATTCTGGAGAATATAAACCCAGTTCTGTGGTTTACTAGCTATGTGATTGTGGACTCTGCAGCTCTCTGATCTAAACTGGATGAATAATAAATGTACATATTGGGCTTAGCACAGTGTCTGACACATGCGATACTCATACGTGTTATTCTTCCTGTCCTTATGAAAACCTGTCTGGAACAGAGAGAAATTAAACTGGATGGAGCTAGAGGAGCCCTTTGAAAGAAAATGTATATTGAGACTAGGAAACAATTGAAACACAGTTTTAGGCATTAATTTTGTTAATGTGCCTTTTCTTGATAATTAATGTTTAAAATTTGAGTTATTTAAAATAGTTTCAAATTGACATACTATTTTAAAATGGAATTTTTTGTGGTTTTTTTGGTACCAGAGATTGAATTCAGGTCCTGTGCTTGCAAGGCAGGCAGTGGAAATGGAGTTTTTCAGTCACGTTACTTTCAGTGAAGTTTGCTTAGATTTCTGTATTAATTATATTTTATATATTTTATGCTTTAAATTATAAAGAAAATTTCACATTTTGTCTTGTTTTTGGGGTTCTACATGTTTGACACCTATTTTCTTGCTAACTTGTTTCCCTCTCATTTTCTTGTCACTTTTTTGCCTACCAACATAATGCATTTAAACTTTATAGACATGTAATATAAAATGAGAAAGTTGTACCTATACACCTATACCACCTATTACCGGCCCCAGGCCTATAGCTCTGCCCTCAGGAAACCATTATTGAGTTTGCTGTATAGTTCTTGCTTGGACAAGGACTGGACAGAAAGAGAGCCTGTACTGTTATTATCTACTATATTTTATTTTTTTAATATTAAAAAAAAAAGGATCATATACTGTGGGGGGAGGTCTGTTGCAGCTTTTATGCATTTTATTATATGCAGATACATTTCGGTGTCTGTATTGTAAGCTTTACCAAAACTAAAAACTGTACATCCCAACTGCACCTGTTCCTTTCAACCAGAAGTAATATTTTAATTTTTAATTCACATACTCTTAACTTTCTTTTTTTTTTTTTTTTTTTTTTAATTTAGCAGTACTGGAGATTGAACTAGGAGACGCACACATGCTGGGCAGGTGCTCTACCTACTGAGCTGTGTTCCCATTTCCTATTTTATCTCAAAAATGGCTATTGTTCTCTGTATGATTTTGTTATCTATACTACACATACTTTTCCTGTCAGTAGGGGGATTGAACCCAGGACCTTCACACTAACCTACAACCCCAATACTTTTTTTTTTTGAGACAGGGTCTCATTGAGGTGCTGAGTTGCCTGGCCTGGGCCTAAATTTGAAATCCTCCTGCCTTAGGCTCCTAGAGAGCTAGGATTACAGGCATGCACCATCATGCCTGGCTTAGAGTATTACTTTTTATATAGATATGTCATCTATCTATTGATAGTAATATTGTGTGTATAAACACATTTTAATATACATATTAATTAATATGTATTAGCCTAATTTTCAAGTTTCACATACCATGGGCATTAAGGTGTCAGTAAATATGTTAATAGTCTTGTTCTTTTCTTATATATCATTCTTGTATTTCACAGAAGATTTGTCTACCAGTATCTCCGTATCTAATTGTCAGATCCAGGAGAATGTGGTAAGTAATAGTTACAGCTAATGTGCATATTGGATGATTAAAATAAGGATGATAGGGCTGGAGATTTAGCTCAGTGGTACCGCTGCCTGCCTCGAAAGCGCAAGGACCCAAGTTCAATCCCCGGTACCAAATAAATAAATAGGGATAGTGAAATATGAGAATCTTAGTAAAGAAATAGGGTCATAATCCAGAATATTGAGCAGTTTGCCTTGGATAGTAAGCTAGACTTTATAGGTAATAACTTCCCTAAGGAGTTCTGCTTGATTGAGGTAACTAAGGCCTATTTTTTAAATTATAAAAATAGAGTTAACTTTCTTATAAAAGAAGAGACATTAGACTATTACAAATTAAAATTAGATTATTACAAAAATGATAGACTAAAGAGAAGGGAGAGGCTACTTGGGCAGGTAGGGGGTCAACATTTCATCAAGACCAGGGAATAGGATACACAAATAGGAGGAAGCCAGAAATGCTGGGCTTTTAAGGATTGGTGTGCATAGATTTGTTTGGCTGTTATCTATAGATATATATAGGATTTTATGAAAGATCAGCAGACTTTCCTGAAAAAGGCCATATGAGAAGACTTTATGAACTACATCCATAGAACTACCCAACTCTGCCATTGTAGCAAGAAAGTGGCCATAGGCAGCGCATAAGTGAGTAAATCACGTCTGCCAGTAAAACTCTGTGGACACTGACATTGAATCTCATGTAATATTCACATGTAACAAAATACTATTTTTATTTTTCCAGTCACTTAAAAATTGAAAGGCCATTCTTAGATCAAGAGCTATATAAAAACAGAGGTAACCAGCTAGATTTGGCCCACAAGCCAGCTTGCCACCCTCTGGATTACAATGAAAAAGATTAGGAAACAAAGAACATTATTCTTTAGAAGTTCTCTTCATAGAAATTTCTCTTTTTTTTCACTTGGGGCATTTAGTTTAACATGTAACGTTTGGGTTTCCGGGAAATACAATGTTTGTCTCTTTATTTTGGTGGTAGCTAGAATAGATACCGTATTCTTGGAGAGAGAAAAAGTGATACAAAGATGAAAGCACAAACTCTACAGGAAATTGAGGGTATATCTATCTATACTAGGAAGGAACAAGATTCACAATTAGTATTTGTTAAGAACTCTTTTCTAGGGCCAGGGATGTAGCTCACTGATACTCTACCTGCCTAGCAAGCACAGGGTCCTGAATTCAATCCTCAGTGCTGGACAAAAAGAAACTCTTTCTGGCAGTTATACATACATTGGAATGCCCACTTTTCTAATTTCAGTGAAACCAAAATTTAGTTAAATTTAAAAATTGATTTAAGTTGAGAAGCATATAAAAATGATTTTTACAAACCTTAAAATTGTCATTATAATTTAACATGTATATTTGTCATTCATGGCCTCTGTTGCAGGGCTAAGGCTTTGTCCGTGTGGGTCTGCTAAGAGGAATTCCATTAGTCTTTCTTTTGTCAGTCATACCTGTGATGCAACTCCTTACACTATATACAACTTAATTTAATGCATGAGTATTATGACAGCAGCAAGCACTAACAAAAAAGGAGGGGAAAAAGTAAAAGAGGAAGATTAAAAGAATAAATTTTGTTATAAACTTTCTCTTATTTATTTTATCAGTCTTTCAGAATCAGCCTAATCCCACAATAAACTTTCGCTCAAATCACATAGCAGTCTCTTTTCTGGTAAAATAGATGGAGCTTTGTTCTTAACTTTTTATGTTCATTTTCTTTTTTTTAGATCACCACTTAATAAATACAAGATTTCTCTTCAAAAGTTTTTTCCTAAAGGTCTTCTTATAGAATACTTTAAGCTTGCCACATTAGTATCATAGTATAAAATTTGGGCTTAACCTTTTCTAGAATAGAGAAGGCCTGAGTTTCATAAAATATTTTGTGCTTTATAAAAATGAATTGCCTCTTTAAAAAAACCAAAAATATATTTGAGTTTGAGTCAGACATGTTGACATTGTTTTATAGAGAAAGTAATGCTGCTTATTCTCCTCTGGTAGGACATCAGTACCGTTTACCAGATCTTTGCAGATGAGGTCCTTGGTTCAGGCCAGTTTGGCATTGTGTATGGAGGTAAGCAGCTACAACCTTTTGTGAGCTTTGTATATTACAGGAAAATTGTGAAATTTAAAAATGTCTGTCAGCTATTTTGTCTTATAACCAAATGGCCTTTTTTTCAAAGGCTGACTTGCATCCTTTTGACTAAATTCTTTTCACTAAAACTGAATATTTCTTCCTTAATTTCAACTGCAAAATTTAAAAATTACAACAAAGGAGTCAGAAAAGTAGTTTTTGTAATAGTCTTTATCTCCTCTTCTAGATCCCACGTAAAGATGTTTGTGGGATGGGGGTGGCTTTAAGTTTCTTTTGGCTCGTGCAGATTTGCTCATTCAAGTACACTCTTCTAACTTTCCCATATAAATAGTATAATTTGTCTGCCTTTGGCGCAAATGCTCTATCAGATCCAAATACCTGAAATCTTGGCCTACTCTCTGACTTTTGGTATTGAGGAGGTCTTTTAATCTCCCTATGTCTTGGTATCTTCATCAGTTTAATGGAGCTAATTAAACTTGACCCACATAGCTCAGAGGATTGTTAATATTAAATATAATGGGTATCTAAAAGTGCTTTAAAAGCTGTATCAGAGATACAGAAGAAATGTTAACCCTAATGTCCCTTATTGATACTGTTACAATAATCTTATTGGCCTTTCTGCCTCCGGTCTTGCCCCTTTTCACACCACTCTTGAAGTGAATCTTTTCAGAAAACTTACATCAGATATTAGTGTTACTTCTCATAGCAGTCCTGTAGAGCTTACTGCTGTCTGCAGACTAGTGGCCAGTATTTGCAGGGCATACAAAGTCTTGGATTTCTCCTAGCTTCCCTCTCTGCTTCCTTCTAGACATATTTATATGCCCCTGTGTTTTGTCTCTGCTCCTATTCCAGTACTTTGTCCAGCTGATGAGTTTTTATTCATACTTGAAGGACTTTTAAGATTTTCATGTCCATCCCTACCTTTCTGAATTGTTCCTTCTTGGTGCTCCTGCTGTTCAAACACAGTATCTATAACACTTTGGGTTTCTATTATTGTCTTCCTATTGAACTTTGAGTATGGAATGAGAAGTGACTAGACTTTATTTGTATTCTTCATATCTTTGACATAGAGTAATCACCCAGAAGATGTATTGATTTTACATGCTGATGCAATACAGTGATACCTCGGTTCAGAAATTTAATTTTTTTACCAGAATTGTGAAAAGAATTAAATTATTCCACTTCTAATTTATCAGTTTTAAGACTAATGACATCTCTTCAAGACCTCTTCCTAGTGAAAGGACAGAAGTGTCTGAGGTACCATTAGAGTTTTACTAAATATGCAGTTTATCTAGTTTTTTTCAAATAGGCATATTTTTATTACTGTGCCCTCAAGGTAGCTGTGAGTTATTTTCAAATAAATAGTTACATAGAGAATATCAATTCTCCTACAAGTTAAAAGAAGTAATATCAAAAATCTACTGTTGTTTTTACTGCTTAATCCCTTACATCTAAAACAATACCTAATAGGTACAAGACAACTAATTAGTTTGAATTGATGGATGAAGGACTAGTTCTTTCATTGCATACTTCTGCCTTATAAAGCTCTTCTGTCTAGATTCTAGAATTATGAAGACTGGAATGTGGGATATAATAAGTGGTTAATTGCCCCAGGGTAGCCAGTGAACATAGAATGAAATTAGCAATATCTCCATCTCCATAGTCTCTCAAGACTCTGTCATGGCATTTAACTGTCATTTATTTAACAAGGTAGATTATTTTCAGCAAACAAGTTCACTCAAATTTTCTGCCATTTTCAATCATGAAACTGCCTTTTTCAGGAAAAACTGTGGAGGAAAAAACATATTTCTTAAAATGAAAAGTAAGCAAAGAAGTATTGAAAAAGAAAGTGAACAAAAGAAAAGACACTCCTAAGTACATAAAAATTTCAGTCTGTGGACTACTTCCTAATAAAGTTGTTTTTGTACATAAGCTGTCACCTTGCTTCTTTTTTAATAGGAAAACATAGAAAGACTGGAAGAGATGTGGCTATTAAAGTAATTGATAAGATGAGATTCCCCACAAAGCAAGAAAGTCAGCTCCGTAATGAAGTGGCTATTTTACAGGTAAAAAAAAAAAAAAAAA